AAAACCTTGCCATGCAAACCCAATACAGGAGCTCTGGCAATAAGGACAAAATGTACTGTGGTTCATTAAGTTTGTTAATAATTTTTTCAGTGTTATGTTCTTCAGTTGAGGCTTCCTGTGCAACGTTAGGTTTGCAAATGCCACTGGTAAGCCTGTCTTGCTTTGTTTCCATACTTACTTTTGACCTAGCCCTGCAAAGAACAATGTATATGCATAAGTAGTCATGTCTTTATTTTCTACCAGTAAACATTATGGCATCATCAGATGCAGAAAGCCTTGAGACAGTGAAGATGAATAGTTGCAGCACACTTAATCGGCCGTATAGTGTGGCTGAGTGTTTGTACTCCACATCATCTCTGTTCAGACCATTGGCTGTTTTCCCAATTCTGGCTGCTGAGAAAGCATTCAGCATCCCCACTGATGTATTGGTAGGGCAGCGTGGGCCAATTCAGTGACTACGAGGCTCTGGTTAATAATAATGCTTACTGTGAAATCCATAGACGTGGACACACCAGACAATACATACAGGTAAATCCAGAACTTGGGGTCTCTTACGAAACATTAAAGGGAAAAACAAATGTTTCCTAAACTGTGAGACGTTTGGCTCGCTCTCACTGTGTGTCTGTTGATGCTGCACCAAGCAGGTTGCCAGACTTGGCTTTAGGATAGACTGTCCACAAAGTCTGCTATACCTGAGACAGCAGGACCTGGCTGACATCCCAAAGTTACAGTCTGCATGCAAACGGCCTCCGAGGCTGCTGTTTTGGCCGAGATGCTGGAAGGCAACTTACTCCCAGGCACTGAGGAAATCTGCACAGTGTGCATGCTGTCCGGGTAACAGAGACTGAAACTCTTTTTCAGTTGACCACGTGCTTCCAGAACCTGGATCGAGTTTACTGACCTCCTTTGAGAAGTGGCATGAGGCAGCTGACACCAAATCCTGCTGCGATTACTCTCTCCATGTGGACATCACCAGCTGGTATGACGGGATTCGAGAAGAGCTGGAAATACTGGTGCAAGACAAAGGTTAGTGAGTGAAAATTAGTAGTATTTTTTGTTTTTATTGAAATATCATATGGAGGTGAAATTTTGAAGTATTTTCATTTTTGAAGTATTAATAACAGAAATGCACAGGTGCTGGTTGTTCTGCCCAAGGTTCTGCACTACCTTGAACTTTCATATTCACTCGCTGCTGTGTAAAATGGACCTAAAACTTTGTGCATTAGTGCTAATCAGCAGCAAGGCTGATGGAGGGAGAAGGCTTACCCCAATATAGGCATGGAAAATTAAGATGTGTATGTTGTCAGATACAAATGCATCACTTTGTGCTTGTTTGTACATATGAAAATAGGCTCAGACATCGCATATTTAGATTTATTTTAAGATAAAACTCAGAGATCAGGATTTAGGGTAATCAGCCCAGTCACCTTACATCCTCTTATTTCATGAATGGAGACAATGAGACATTTAAAGGTAGTGGTTCAGATTTTAACTAGACTGGAATCTGCCCATTTAGCTACCTCAAATTAAGCCCAAATATGAAGGACACATGTCTGAGAAACGGTCATCACAGGCTATTGCTCATTTCTCAGCAATGGCTTAGGATAATTTACTTGTGAGACAAGATTTTTTTAATAAAACATACCTATATTTATAAAAAGGGTTCAAGTTATTAGGAAAAAAAAGTGATGCTAAACTTAGATACCTAATATTGAAAAAATGTCCTGATTTTCTCAAGTGCTGTCTCCGGTGGCTGTCCCTGAAGTTACTACAAGATGCTTTGTTTCAGGACTTACAAAAACCAGGTCACTTATTTAGGAATCTATTTAAGACACTTATGGGCTTGATTCAGTTCAATTAACAGGTCTGCTATCATGTGAGATGCTGTAGGTTACCCTATCTGGACTCTAGCTGTATATCCACTCCAGAGTAGCACAGATAAAACCTCTAATAAATCCTTTTCCATACGTGCCAGCTCAGTGTGGCCACTTCGTATATGGAGGGTATCTTGGTGGCAGCAGATACATATGTGTAGGCAATGAATCTAGCCTTCAGAAAATAATAATTTGGACCTAATTCCTTAAAATTCTGCATGTTTTTTTTTGTCCAGAAACATACTTTTTTTCAAATATTTTTCATGCAATACTTTCATTGAAAATGCATGGATATTAATTTAGGAAATATTTTCCAAAATGGCATTTAATTACCATGGGTAAATCATAGTGACACTTGTGTTGAGAAGTCTTAAGTAATATGTGTATGCAGCATCCTTTGTAGGGTGTTGTGCTAGTGATGACTTGGGTTTGAAAAAGTCTCTTTATATAGAAATGTACTATCAAAGTAGAAAAATAAAGCAAAATCTATTTTTGAGTGAGCAGTTGTTCACTGATATACTGTGGAGGTGCAGTCATGTAGAGGAATTTATCCTGTATTGCAGCATGCTAGCAGTACATGTGCTGTATAACCAGCTTTTGAGCAACCAAACCCTTCAATCAGCAAGATTACATGTAATTTAGAGAAATTGCAGCTGGTCTTACATAGGTCTTTATAATATAGGTGGTTTTTACAAGGTGATGACATCTGTCAACACTGATGGTGCCAAATCTGTGCTGTTTCCCTGCTATCACTGTTAACATGGATACGCTGCTGTGCATTAGCTGACTGTACTCTCAGACAAGTATACTGTGCCTTGTTTCAAAGATTAGATACTATTTTCCAGAGCTCCTGGATCACAGATGGCTCAGCAATCCCAAATTTGCCTGAGGGCTTACATTAAAAGCCTGGTGCTGGCAGTTAGGTTAATAGTTCTCTCCAGCTATAGAAATGTGAATTTTCAATATAAATCTGAGCTGCCTTTCACTCTTCAGGAGAAGCAGGAATCTGTTCATTGATTCCTAAACCGGGATGTGTGATGGGGCCCTTGGTGGCCTCTTTGGTGGCGATAGCACTAGGAGGTCACCTTTGTTCTCACGGATGCTGCAGTATGTCTCAGTCAATGTGAATTACTCTCATGTGTTAGGAGCCACAAGGTAAGGGCGAGTATGAAAGCACAAGCACAATAGGAAATATTTTAGCATGGCAGGGGCTTTCAGATTAATGGATGATATCTGCTGATAATTGGAAACATTTGAGCCAGCTGGTGCAAATAGACTGCATGTCAATGGAGTGACACTGGTTTTCATCAGCTGGGAATCTGGATTGAATTTGTTCTCGGCTGATTGTCTGGTGGGTGCGTTAGCCGAGTAACAGGGCTCAGTTAATCATGGTTCAGTGCTGCGTGTGCCTAATACAATCTTGGCATGAATAACAGGGGAGCTTGCAGAGCTGCTGTTGAGGTGTCCTGTCTTGAGGTATAATTGAATAATTAATCAGTTTAAAATCAATACAAAGCTAATTTAAGGAGACAGAGGCTTTGGAAGGGCCTGGAGATTTTGTAGAACCGCATGTTGATTATAAAGACTTGGCAGCTAATTTAGGATGGGGCTTCTCCAGCATATGCAAAGGAACAACAGCCTGAAATGCGTTGACAGAGGCCTTGCTCGTTCCTGTAACTACTACACTTTGTCACTGTTCAAAAAAACCTGTAGCACTGTCTGAAATTTGGAGAGGATCCTGTTGAGTACTCCAGGTGCGAGAGCGAGCAGGACATTAATACGAATGTAGTATATAACAGATGTTAAGCATTGAGGTCAGTAGGCCATGGACCAGGGCGTTTGAAAAGCCGTATTTTTCCAATGAGTAGATTGAGACACCAGACCAAGGCATTAGGTAAAGAGTCTAATCTTGGATACCTGCATGTATAAGTTGGTGTTGTTTTATCTTGGTATCCTGTAAAGGTAGCCCTTTGCAAGGCAGGATGGTTCAAACCATCTTTCCCGTTAGGTGTAAAGGCAGCCCGTGAGGTGCCCTTCCACTTTCTATCTGACGTCGTAGGTGGGGGCGTGGATGTGCATTTAGATGGGAGAAGGTGAGGGACAGGCTTGGATCCCTGCTGGGATCCCTTCTACTGTCATTGACTTCAGGCAGAACATTAATGTGAGGGGGAGCAAAGCTCATTTTACCAAGGTCAGAAAAGGGCCTAAGAAGATACAAAGGCAATAAAAACAGAAGGAAGAGTATATATATATTACTTGGGTCAATGTATGTCTTCCAACCACAGTACCCAGCAAAAGCTGCCTTATCTCCTGCAGGACTGTGATGAAATGAATTGCCTTTGGTTAGATCCCAGTGGATAAAGGAGAGCAAGAGCTAACCCAGCTCTTTGCTTACGGAGAAACGTGTATGAGAGGATTCAGTCCCGTGCCATCGCTGAGGCCAGTCAGCATGGCTTGGATCAGCCTTGACACGGCTCTCATGGCTTCATGTCTGCATGGTCACTCGTGCAGAAAGGTGGCTCCCAGGCGCAGCTGACATCTGAGACGCTGCGTGGGTTTGTGAAGAGAAACAGAGCTTTCCTCCAAGGCAGGTCGGGCAGATGTGATCAGTCAGGGGAGATGGTGCTGCAGGCACCTGGCTGAAAGCACTGGCCCCTGTAAGGTGTAGTTGAGCTTAAAAATTTTAAAGCAGGAACATAGTAAGTACAGTTAGTCAAGGCCATGCATGTTTTCTGGGAATGTGAGAAACAGGAAAATAGGACGAAAGGACAGGCTCCCAGGCTGACGGGGCTCCCCGGTCCAGGCTGATTTGCTCAGCGTGGAGGTCAGCAAGGAGGGGCCGGCTCCTGCTTTGTACTCCTCCCTGAGCTGCCTGGCCTTAGCGGGGAGACGTAATACCAGGGATCATGTCAAGGTTTTATCCTGCACGTACCCTGGGGTATTTTAATCTTGTAATTGTGAATAAACAAATTATCTGTGAGAGTGTGAACAGCCATACCCTCTGCCTGAGGATATGTCTGTGCCTTCTAGACTCATGAAGGAGTTATATCTTCATCAGAGAGCCTTATTCATTTGGTGTAGCCAACGTGAATAATACAAACAGATCTCTTCCTTTTTCCTCTTGCCCCAGGAAGCATAGTTTTCATGACAGCTATTTTGAAATGCAGCATAGTTGGCTTAGACAGCTTAGAATTTACTTTTCTTTTAAGCTAGAAAACTCTGACATCAGTCCCTGTACCAAACTAGGGGCGCTGTCAGTAGACTAAAGTGTAAGGCAAATTTATAAACTAATATAAATTCATATGTACAGAAGATATGAACAGAAGATGTTTGGACTTCCTGTTCCCTTAGAATACGAAGCTGTGTAAATAATCGAATCTTGAAATAGATAGCAAATGGTGGTTTGAATACAGTTGGTTCTTGGCCACTGACACTCAACACTAGCATTTCTTACTATTTCTAAAATTTGGAGCTGTCATCTTTTGTGATTTTGTACGACTGCCAACATAAATCCTTCCATCTTCGGAAGGTGGAAGGATAGGTATGGTGAGCTGCCCTTGTAACTGGTTTCAGGCTTTGCTTCCACTCCTTCCCAGTGTCTGCCATCAGCTAAGCTGGGTGCTTTGGGCAGTAGGGTTAAGAAAATGCAAGTCTGTATGCAAATTTAGATACACAGTTCCTACAGCTTCTCAGCACTTTGGGGAAACTTAACGAGAAGTTTATCTATTAAAAAGCACAATTTCAGGTCAAGCTGAAATGTTTTCCTGATTAGCTAAAGAAAGCTAAAAAGAAAACCAGTGATTCACAGAAACTTGACACAAGTTTTTTTAAACTTTACAAACTTTACATGCTTGCTTTAGCCACTGTTGTTTGTCTGTGATTTGGCTACAAGTAATCTCATTTGTGGTGGTGGATGGGTTGCTCCAGGGCTGAACACAGACAATCCACGGAGTCCAGCAAATTCCCCCAGAGAACAGGGGATTCAGGCTTCTAGTCCGAGCAGCTGTACTGTACCTGTGGAGCCATGCTTTATATCTGGCAATCACTGGTGAAAAGCCTAGTCCAGACATATTTTATGTCTTATTTTCCCTGAAGTTTTTGTTCAAATACAATTTAAGAATCCACATACATGGCAACACCTTTCAATTTTGTCTTGGAACAGGTGTGAACTCTTTTCAAGTCTACATGGCCTACAAAGATCTCTACCAAATGTCCGACAGCCAGGTATTGCTCTGAATGCTTTTCATTGCTGTGATCTGTCCTCTCTCCTGTCAACACTGGAGGAGTTGCTAAAGTTGAATCCCAGAGAAACATTCCCACGGACCCGAGCGGCACTGGGGGAAATGTGCAGCGGAGGAGTTCTCTCTGGAGGGTCCGTGCCAAGCAGTGTTGACCATCTGCATGTGTTCCTTCAAGCGTGGGACGTTCACTTTCTGCAAAGATTTTCTGGTGTCTGTCAACACTGCAACCACTCAGCGCTGCTCAGGATTTTGCCCTCGCTTTATTTTGCTGTTATCTTTCAAGAACTCTAGGTCAGAGAGGGAAGAAAAGATGAAGTGCTCGAGGTGCTGGCAGTTTTGAGATTTGAAGAGTTTCTTGGTTGCTGCAAACAGCTAAATGGAGTTGCTTTCTGGGGGAGGTGGCCTCTTCTCATTAGGGCTGGAGATAACAATGAGCTTGTTTGTCCAGAGCTCATTACAGATTCCAGACTCTTCAGCTTTCCCATTCATAAGTATCAGGTCATTGTAAATGGACAATGGCATCTGTTAGTAATAATAATGTTTGCTTATTCAGTTGAGAAAATGTTTCTTTCTTACTTATTCCCAGAGCTATAGCTCTCGATCTGTTAAATAACTGTTGTTACACCTCCAATACATGTGGTTTTAATTGGAAATTTAGACATAATAATATATAAATATTCTCTCAGAGGCAGTGCCTGTTAAATTGAACTCCCTGTTAGAATTGCCAAGAGAAATACATCAAAACGTTTAATGTGTGGCTGGACTAATGCCTGTTACCTTCTTTAAATGCACATGTTGCAGGCTGACTGTTCCGACCCATTCAATGCTAGCTGAAGTGCCCTCGTGCAAAAGTGGGCACCGAAGAAACTGTGTCTTCAGTACTTTATCTGTGTTTGAAACTGGGCTCCCATGTTACTGAAGTCTGATTTAAACAGGGAACACATTGGCTGAGTACCTTTTCGAAAAGGAACTGAATTTCAGTAGATTTATGCTTAGAAATTTTCAGTAAAAGCAATAGGATCAACTGTTTCCCTTCTGTATGAATGGGTTTTGAATCTTAGAAAGCAATAAAAAAAAGGATGCTCTATAGAAAGTATTACAACTTTTAATTGCAGAATTAAAGATGTTGGTAAAAGCTTGACATTGTCTGCTCTAAGAAGATGGTGCAAAATGCCTTCAGAAAAGAGGTGTTTTAGCTGTACTAAGAGTGTCCATAGTCCATTGATTATTCCCATTCCACGGGAATAATCCCATTTTACATTTGCTCAAACTCCAGAAAAGAGACTATTCGCTAAACTTAGACCTGTGTGGGAGGACATGCGGAGGTAGCACGGGGCTGAGGGAAGCACTGTGTCCGAGGGAGACGCAACCCTGCTCGGGACTGTTGACCCTGTCTTGGTGCAGAAGGGCAGAGGCTCGTCCTGGGGCTGGCTGGTGTGTGAGGGGGTGGGTAGGTCAACAGTGAAGTAAAGCTCTGACTCTGTGTAGAAAGCGGAGGGTGGAAAAGGGAGATAATTTGCCATTTGCCTAGATAATTACCAGCATAGTAGGACCAAAACTTAGATGAACAGAGAGGTCTGAGTGTTAAGTAATGTGTTTTCCTTATTCAGCAGTGTTTCCTTCTTTGTACTACCTGCAGCTTTATGAAGCCTTTACCTTTCTAAAAAGCCTTGGGGCTGTTATCCTGGTCCACGCTGAAAATGGAGACTTGATAGCTCAGGTGAGTGAACTGTCATTTTTGCTTCACTTTGTGAGAAGATAGGCATGAGAGAGGAGAAGTAAAACCCTCCAGTCAGGGTATGGGTAGGAAAAAAGTAACTACCTGGTAAGTGCCGTAATTGGGCCTGATGTCCTACCCACTGCTGGGATAACCGCTGGGATGAGAGGATGGAGACCCTTTTGCATGCTTTGGCAGAGCATCCGTGAGGTAGAGCAGTGATCCAGGTAGCTTCTTGCCTTGGCAGCAGATGAGGACTGGGTGAGGGGGGCAGAAGCAAGAAGATCTCTTCTGAATCTGGCAGAGACAAGTGAAGCAGAACAACATAAAGTCTTGCTCAGAGAATTTGGGGACAAAAAGTGGAGCTGGGAAACTTTATGCTAATGCTTCTTGCTGCAGTTATAGCATAAGCAGAGTGGGTGGTAATGCTCTTAGACCTGTTTATTTTTGAGAATATTCTTATAAATCTCTGAAGTTTGAGAATAAGAAACCACTGTGATCTTCTAAACATTTCAAAAATGTACATTAAAGTGTAAGCCATGATCTTTGAAGATGCCTCTCAGAACCAGAAAACTGGGCTCAAATTCAGTACGTTCCATTAAAATGTCCCGGATCCCCAGTGCAGTCTTTGCAGGTCAGGTCCCCCGCGTAGGTGCTGTCCTCACGCTGGAGTAGCTCTGATCTGTGCCACAGCACATCGAAAGAGGTATCCCAAGGACAGCAGTCCACAGTAAACCTCCCGCTGGTCTTTCAGAGGCCAGGATTCCCCTACAAAACAGAACGAGCGGGTTTGAGTGGGTGTTGTTATGACTATACATCTGTGGTAGATGAATCTTTCAAGGCTGTTGCAGAGGTGTCTCCCTCCCCTGATCCCTTGTATGCGTGTAGAGCCCCTCTGAGGTCCGTGAGGCTCCGAGTGAGCCAACTGGTTTATCTGCTGAGCTCTTTATCTGCTGGCTTATCCGCTAAGGACTAGGCTGCAGAGCTGATGGGGAAATTAAATAGCTAAAACCAAGTTGTCTTTGAGATGTGGCTAGAGAAGCCACCTTGTCTCATGGTTAAGGGAGAACCTCAAGTGAACGTTTGAGTGGTTGGGCAGTGTGTAAGGGCTCTCACCCGCCTTTTGTTGTTTTTCCCTCCATAGGATTCTGTCCTTTATCTGCCTAGTAAGAATTTACCCCCTTTGAGAGCCTTCTTTCCCTTTTCCCTTGAAGTTTGGCCAAAACAACTACTGGCCTCCAAAGTTCCTAGTGAGGAGTCAGCAGGCACATACAGGGCAGTTGTGTCCTTCCCCCACTGAAAGCAGGTGAAAACCGTCATTTGGATTCAAGAGGGAAAAAAACTTCCCATGAAGTTTAGCATGATTTAAAACTAACAAAACCTGTAATTTATGGTTTTAATACAACACAAAATATGCAGTAGAATGAAAATTGATAATAAGAAACATAGTAAGTCAGTACTACGGTAGGAATGGCAAAATGAAACAAATCAAATGGCACCTGTGATATTTTGATATGTTCCCCATTAAAATCAAGGCGGACTCGTGGAATTGCATTTCTGATTGAAATCTGTTTCAGTTACATTTTTCTTTGATCAGCTTTAATATACAGCCATTGAATATGAGCATACAGTATTAGGAAACGGGGAAGTAGTACAGAAATGTAAATTATGTTATACATCAAAATATTTCTTCACCATTGCCATGTCTCATAAAATCAGTCTTTCATTATGCTTTTATTTAGAAGGATTATTTGGATAGTGAACAGAAAGCTCCCTGCAGGGGGGTTTTGCAGGACTATCCTGTGTGAAAATCCAAATTTGATCTTATCAAACAAATATTCTATCTTATTAACACTATGAAATCCTCTTACAGTGGGTAATTTTATCGTATGATCTAATTTTATGAATGCCTTCAAGATGCAAATCTATCCTACTTTGTGTTCCATTCTTTGCTGTCTTGCTATTTTGTGTATTATATGGTTGCAACTTTAGTTTTTATTGTATTTTAATTATCTGAAGTCTTTAACTGGCACTGTTTAGAGCTGTTGCACTAATGATTTAGAACACCTGTTTTTAAGGATACCTATGAAACATGATTTTCTAACCAAAATAATCTTAATTACAGAGTCAGATTAATACATTCTTATTAATGCCTCTTCTGCCTTGATTGATTGCAGCAAAGGCAAAAGTGTATGTGAATATTAACTTGCTCAGGTTTTGCTGGAGTATGTTGGTAATGTGTGAGCTTTTCACCCTCGGGGACCTGGGATCAAATATTTATTAGATGACACAGTAAAGTATGTTCGGTAACTTCATCCTGGTCTCCAAGGGACATTTATCTGTATCACGGAGTCATTACATTGGTTGAACTCAGCTCATTAGAGACCTGTGGGCACGGCAGGCCAGGGTCAGAGGTACATCAACAGCTCTGGTCCCACTTCTGCTCCACTGGCAGACCTGGACCAACCTCAGATTAGAAGTGGTTGACCGCCATTTTCTACAAAAATGGAAATCTATTCCAATCCCACTGCTTGACCTTAAATTAAAATATAGGTGAAGCTTTTTATCTAGTTTTAAAAATTACTCTCACTGTTGCGAAGCTGGATAGCCCAGATTTTTTTCTGACAAACCCCCATTGGTCCCCAGATGGGCTTTTGGGTGTGGAAACAGTCTCCTCACAACTGGAGGGCACTGTTCTGCTTTCGTGAAAACATGATTTTAGTGATTCACTTTTTTTCCTACAAAGTGTTGCAGACAACTGGGTGCCAAAGGCGAGGCTTTATTTGCTGAAGTGTCAGCAATGCGAAAAGTTTACGGAAGTCAACAGTGCTTCATGGATTGCAGCTAGAGAGGAACTTTTGTGAGTGAAAACAGAATTGCAGGCTGGAAATATCCATAATTCCTATTTAGTATATTGATTGAAGCCTGTTCCCTGGGTTGACGTCTTGGTGTCAAATAAGACTTTCAGAAGGGCAGAGGATATTTCCAATGGTGCAGCTGAACGGCTCGAGGTGCAAATACACTCTGTCACACTGCAGCGGTAAATCTTGCCCTGAAATCTGTGCTAGCTGCGTGGAACAGACACTTTGGTGGCATGGGACCAGTTTAGAGCCAGTGCTTTCAGTCGTCCTCCCTTGACAGCAGGCTTATGAAGCTGCATTTACACAGACAAAAAAAGGGGCAGTCAGAAACTATGGCTGTTAATCTGCCAGAGGATGGCTGCTGCAAGGGTCTTATCCTGGAGCCCTTGTCAGCATTTATCTGCTATGTTGCAGGAACAAAAGCGTATCCTGGAGATGGGAATCACCGGGCCCGAGGGACACGCCCTGAGCAGACCTGAGGAGGTAAGAGACTTCACTCATTTTGTCATTCGTGGAAATACTTTGTTGAGCACATAGTATTGGAGCTTGGCTTCTGTATGTGCAGATGATAGACGGGTGCATGGGGAAAGGCAACAGTCTGTTTCTCCCACAGCCTCTTCCCGTGTTATTCAAAGCTTTGAAAAGTCCAAGTACCCTTCAGCCTGTTTGTTTGCCTGAAATAGCCTTTTGCTGCTGCAGCAGGTGTGTTCCCTCGGTCCGGGGATGAGCGCGTCCTTGTACACTCGGGTGTCGCAGCTCCTGTTGCCCTGGGCACAGGCGTGCATGTGCTTTTGAGTATGACCCTTGTGATTTGATTCATGATGACAAAAACTTGGCTTATCAGGGTAAAAATCAGCAGTGCAGCTTGTGGGTTAGGCTTTGGAGTAACCGCATTCATTGAAGTGTTTTGGCTCCTTTAAAATGCATGTGTATGTATATAACATGCATATGCATATGCCCACGTATAAATCTATGTTTATGCCATTCTACTACATTTGTAGTAGAAATGCAGGCTGTAGGAATGCAAATATGTGAGAATGGAAAGATGCTGTGAGGAAGCTCAGTTTATGCAACTCTCTTAAAACCAGGCTCTGGCAAGGATCATCTCAGGCATCTGGCAAGGGTTTTTTTAATGAGAAGCAAAAGGTGGAGACATGTGGATGTCCCTTAATGTACACAGTTCAGACTGTTAATGGGATGATGGAGGACGGTAGTGGGAAGCGACTGCTTTCCTTGAAGGCTAAAGAGACAACGCCCTGGGGATTTGAGGCTAAACTGGAAGAGATTGTTGTGGTTTGCAGATCTTTTATATAACCTCTCCCCAGGGCAAAAGAAATCAGCTTAATTGGTCACATTCTTCTATTGAACTGTTTATGTACTTTTTCATTTTGCTGTTTAACTTCCACCTAAATTATTCTAGAAGAATGGAGTTGTTTTCTTTTAATGAGAAGAAGAGCCTAAGGAAAATCTGCATTTGCAATTTCCAGAAAGGAATATTGCATCTTTCTGACTGTGCATCTGATCACTGCAGCCCCAGTGCCGAGTTACAGGGGTCCTGCCTCCTTCCCTGGTCTTCTGTTGGGTGGTTTGGGGCTTCCAGAACAAATGCTGTGATAAAAGTCCTAGGAGAACCTAAAGTGACAGTCTTATCTTAGTAAGTAATTTATGAAACTGTGAAGAATTAAGCCATGTGGTTTTGGAAGGGCTAAATTGCTCAACTTTTCTAGCATACCTCTTGGAGAGAAATTTCTGTACTGTCGAGTCAGTATTTTCAGTCACAATGGAGTTCTAGGTATTAAAATGCCGATACTGTGAGTCCGTCCAGGAGGGAGGTATAAAACTGAGGAGTGGGGAGAAGAGTCTGCCAAGTCCCTGGGAAACACTGCTCCTCGGTCTGAAGACAACTGCTTTGTGTGTCTACGTCCCAGATGGCTCCCCAGGAGGAGATTGCCTTTACACTTGCTGATGGAGAGGACTTACTGGGTGATGCTTCAAAGGCTTTTATGGATTATGGGCTAAATTCAGTCCATAGTGCTGAAGTTGCTGTTTGAGAATACTTTACATTCACTGTCATCTTATCCTTATGTAAAGAGCTCATAGGGTAGGCTGCCAGAGAGAGCTCAGAGGTTGTCTCCGAGCTGGGACAATGTTCCCTTGCTTCATTCTCCTTCCAACTGCAGGGTGGAAGTCTGAAGCAGAATGGTGGGAGGGAGGTAAGGAGGAGCCCCATCAGCTGCTTGGAGGTGACCTTTCCTGGGGTGCAAGGAGTGAGGGAGCTGTATTTGTGCTGGGGCAGCTGTACCCCGTTAGCGAGCACAGCCTGGCTGTGGTTACTCCAACGCAAAGTGTCTGAGGTTGGGTTAGCTCCCTGCTTCCCAGCATTGCCTCTCTCTCCATGGAAAAAGAAGAATCAACCCCTGAAGAGTTGTTGCTAAACAGTGAGAAATATGGTTCAGTCCTCCAGTTCATTTTTTCTTCAGTCTGCTTTTGCAGTTAACTTTTTCCTCTTTGTTTTACTCAGCTTGAAGCAGAAGCAGTTTTCCGTGCCATCACCATTGCCAGTCGAATAAACTGCCCAGTGTACATCACCAAGGTGATGAGCAAGAGTGCGGCTGATATCATTGCACTGGCCAGAAAGAAAGGTGAGAGACTTCCTTTTCTCCCCCAAACTTGTTTTGGTTTTTTTTGTTGTTGTTGTTGAATAGAAGCTCAGTGGAAAAACCTGTACATCTTGACCCCAATCACAAGATATAGGGAGAGGTTACCAAAGAATGGTAACACCTTCACAGACCCTAAATATTTACGGTTGGGAAAGACGAAGGGAAAACCTTTCACATTTTGCAGTTGAGAAATTGTCCCCACAAACTGTCCCCTTGAAGATTGTGTTGTAACTCTTCTTTATCCTGTCTTCCCTTTTACCTTTCCCTTAGACTGCTGTATCTCTCTCTGTTTGTGGGAGGGAGATATTTTCTTCCTAACAGGGTCCAGCTCATCTCTGTGCCTTTTGGAGTTATTTCAGGGTATTCCTCGCTGAGGGGTGGCTTGGGCAGCGAACCTGCTGTTAGAGTTGCGCAGTGCTCGCTCCTGGCCTTGCTGCTGGAGGCTGGCCCCATCAGATGTGCACTGGGGACATCTGCGGGTTGACACTGCTCGCTGGGGCCATGGATGGATCCAGGTTACAAACCACCCAAAAGGGGCTTGGGAGCCTGGAGGCAGCCACTTTCGCAGCTGCATTTGCGAGTCAGGTCTGTTCTGCTGGTTGGTGCTACAAAGCACGTGAGCAATATGGAAGAGCCAAAGTGCAAAATATCGTCTTGGTATTTGTATTCTTGGAGACTTGGAGCATGGTGCTGGGGACCATATGCTGTTATCTGCTGGTGCTGTGCCCAACCTGGGAGTAGTAAAAAGGCATCTGTCTGCTGGAGCCCATCCTCCACCTAAATGCACTCCAAATCGGAGCAACAGAGAGAACATGACTGTGATTAAAACAGTACAAATGAAAACCAGATCTGAATTGTCTCCTTCTGGATTAGAAAAGGAGCTTTGTAAATATGCTGATCAAAAGCGTGTGTAGCTCAGAGAGCCTCCTCATTAATTTTTTATCATACAGACAAAGCCAGGGCTGCTTAATTTTCTGGGAGCTACGCTGGCCATGTAGCAATGCGTAAATTATATATGGTTGCATGCAGCAAGCAGTATAATGTGCTGAAGAGAGAGTGGATTGTAATCAGTTCCTGTATATCCTTGTTTTCCCCAAGGTCCCCTTGTTTTTGGAGAGCCGATCACTGCCAGCTTGGGGACAGATGGGACACATTACTGGAGCAAAAACTGGGCCAAGGCTGCAGCTTTTGTGACCTCGCCACCTCTGAGCCCTGATCCTACCACTCCAGACCACTTAAATTCACTCTTAGCATGGTAAGACCTTCATTTTTTTTGTAGGTTGATGGTTAGGCAAGTGCAAAAGCCACACGGGACAAAGCCTCTAGGGATCAGCTCATTTTCCTTTAAACCAGTCTCATACACGAAACAGCAGAGAAGGAACATAGAAAACCAGGGATGGTTATATCCCTATATTTAGGCTGTCAGTGAGGTGAGCAGACATGGACTTTCCAGCTCCTGGTTAGCATGATAGAGAGGCAACTGTTGGCTATTCAGGAATTCATTCTTTTTCTTTCTGCTTTTCAAGTGATTCCCAGTTAAACAGCTAGATAGTCTTTAGCCCAGGACTTCAAACTGGCTTTCTCCCTAGTTCTGTTTTCTCCAGCCAAATTGTGAAAATATGATCAGATGGCATCCTCACTATCCAGCGTAAGCAGCAGCCTGGTGGATAGACCCCGTCTGTGGGAACAGACTCAGTTTTAAGCCCTGGTCATATCTGGGAAGCACAGCTCCTGAAATCAGGGTTGTCCCTGAATGCAGAGATACCTAGAACTGAGAAAACTTTTCTGGGGCAGTTTTTGTCAAAGCTGGTGTGGGGCTGTAAACCGTGAGCACTTCTGAGAATTAGGCTGTCCTAAACTGAATTGTTTGTAGCAGAGTTCAGTGGGTTTGGCTCCTGTGTATTGAAAACCTCTGACTTGACAGTTTGCCTTCATCTGGGATGGACCAAAATCATAGAAGTTTACTTGTGTTTAGTTCTTGCAGCCTTGTTTTTACTTTTACCTTGCCTGTGTCTTTATTGGTTCCAGGGTCCTCAAGCTGGAGGACAGCAAAGATAAGTGGTACATATAGAGAAGGTATGTCAGGCAGGAGAAAGGGGCCAGAGTGGAGACTCTGACAAAGGAGACTGTCAGGGACTCAGGTGGAGATGGGCTGGTGACTGGAGGACAGGATAGGGGTATGGTCTGACTGGCTTCAGGTTGGTAGGCAGAGGATTATCACTAGAGAGATGAATGTACACAGCAGAGGGAGAAGTATCTTTCTCATATAGAAAAGAAGATATCAGCAATGCCTTGCCAGCAACCCAGACTGTAAACCCATCCCTGAAAGTATTTCCTGCCTGTATCCAACTATGGGTCTATGTTAGCTTAAGCTTTGAAATGGTATGGATCACATTTTAAGTCCCACCAGGACAGATTGCTAGTGCTGGAGTGAGGAACTGGACTTACCATTCAAAACCTTATTCAGCACCATGTGGTGGCACTCATCTCACCTGCTGCTTCCCCTTTCTAGGGTTTCAAATGCTCTAGACAGAGCAGTAGCATTTGAACCCTAAAAGTGACCCATAGATCTTCAGAAAACGCTTCCTCCTGAGGTTAGTTTTCCACATGACAAACTGGCAGACTGTATGGCAGGCATATATAAAGCCCCTGCATGTTTAATTCAGGCTTGGCAGAGCTGCTCTTTAGGTGGATGGGCACATACATGTGATGGGAAGCTGCCATCGATCGATGCCACTGCTGCAGTATGTACACATCTCTCCTTCAACATGGTGGGTCAGGCTGTGCAGTCCACCCAGCCCAGGTTTTAAGTCGGCTGCCCTAATGATGCTGCGTGGACAACGCTGTTGACGAACGCGCAGTTGAGCTCTGAGTTACATGCGGTTCAGGAATTTGTTCTGTTGTGACAGTCTGATGGCAGAAATGATTTTCCATAATTGAGCTTTCTGTTCCTTAAAATAAGGACAAGGAAGAAAAATTACTTTTCTGGTCTGATCCATCACTATCAGCACTGTAAAGAGGGTAAGGCTCTTAGCCAGCACATGTGAATGTGTATCAAAATGTTTGGCTCTTTATCAGACACGGCTATATGTTTTCTAGAAGAGAGTCCCAAAATAATAGTATGTGGGTCAAAGCAGATTAGCTAAAATAGCAAGAGAATTTTTAGAACTGGAATCCAAATAATGTCCTTTTTTACCACTAACATAAGAAAGACAAACTGAGGAGTCACAGAAGTTTTCATTATCCTCCAAGCATGCAAAAATGACTTTTTTTTTTTCTAGTGGCTTAAAGTCCTAGATCTTAAATGACAGCAGCTTAGCCTGCTTTCAGTTTTAATACTTTAAATCTATACTGTGAAGCTAAAAAAAAGAACTGTATATTTTATCAGTCTGCCATGCATTTGTGGGGAGTTTTACACAAGGATGATGGTAAAGACAGTATTTTGCTTTTCTATTGCGCTGTGCATTAGGACGCAGATATTTTACATTCATTATAAAATCCTTCCAACATTCTTCCTCTGAAAGTACGCAGCATACTGCTTGTGCTGTTTTCCACAGAAAGCGTTGATTTTTCACTGAAAAGCTGACTGTATAAAAATCCAGCATGTCTCATGGGGTTTGCAGATTGGATTTGCCTCATGAGATCTGGTCCTTGTTTCGTCTGTGGGCCATGCACCTGAGGTAGCTTTCATCGTCCATGGTGAACTGCTGCATTACTGCCGCTGTGATACGCCATCTCTTCTGAACTAGAGATGTGAGATCTTGGTGCTTCATGGAAGATGTAACCTGCCGTGAAAGCCTTGCTTACGGTGAAGAATTAAGATGACGAGGTTTTGATGTGGCATTTAAAGATACATGTATGTCCGCTATGAATTCCCACCACTGCCTCTTTTGGAGATGTTTTCCATGGTGATTCCTTCTTGTCTCTCAGTTTTTTTAGCTGATCTGATGCTTATCCCCCATTTGGCAGCAGAGTGTATCTGAGCAGGAGCAGTGCCCGTGTGGTTAACCGCGAGGTGTTGGGCAGCTCTCGAGCGTCATGCTTCAGCTTCAGAAGTCTTCCATGGATTAGACTGGGGAGTGCAGTGCATGTCATTAAATGTCATTAAATGTCAGAGGAGTGGGAAAATGGAGTTCAGAGGAAGGAACTCCTTTTTATCTTTCAGGTGTAGGAATTAATAGGATGATGTAAGAAGCGCAACATAACCTCAAGGAAATGGGCAGTGATACAGGGCCTGCTGTGACAGTCATGTTCTCATGGTTGTATTCATCAGAGTGCAGAAAAGAGAGAGGGTACGCCACAAGAAGCTTAGCTGACAGAAGAGCAACAAAAAGGAAGAAATGGCGCTGCAATCTTCTGACTTTATTATTGTGTTAGAATAAATGAATGTTTAACAGATGGATTTGATTTAATCCTATGGAGTAACACCAGGCAGTCAGTAATAATCAGGAATAGCTAAAACATAGGTGCCTTTTCACCATTAAATACACGGGTTTGGCTTCTGCTAAAAACTGGGTGGATGGATGTGAGCGTGGTGAAGAAAAGAGGCCAAAGGTTCTTCTCTGACTGTCAGCGATCATTAGGGCTGGCAGCCCAGAAAATTACATTAGAATTCCTGATGTGTGACCCTTTTTTTCTTCTGTACTTGGCTATTTGTTAGCTTGCTGGAATCTAAATTTATGGACCAGAGTCATTCATTATTTCAGAGCTGGAACTTAGATAATCAGAGAAAAGGATGACAGGCTCCTGGGGACATCGCCCTTCTGGAGTTATAGAAGAGAAATCATAGTGTCTTTGAATGTGCTTGACTCCTGTAAGCTTAATCAAGACCTAAAAATAATCACGATTCCTGTGGATATTGAAGAACCTATCTTCTTTTTTGGCTATTTTTGCAAGATTCTGCATGTTGGTTATGTTCTTCCTCCTTATTCCTGAGAGCAGCTGTGATCCAGTTCTGCTCTCTCTGCAAAAAAATTTTCTCCAGGCTGAAATAAAAACGACTTCTAAATGAAAGCATTATTATTTTGTAGCTCTTTTTGTGTTTTACTCCATGCTTTTTTCTGTGTAAGAAAGACCTTTAAATTAGATAAATCCACATCACATGTTTGACGTGAACTATGCCTTTCTTTGTTTAATTAGAAGACTACCTGATAAAAAAACTTTCCTTTTTTTTTTATTTTCATGGTTCTGTTGTGGAAGGTCAGAAATATTTGTGTAAGAATTGCAAGAAAAATATGTACAGAGGGGAGAAATACAGAGGAAAAAGCTTCATGCTCATGACTTTTCATTGTAAAATTTGCCATTACTTTTCAGCATGGTTATGAATTAATTTATCTTGAGAGTGGCAGACATTTCATACAAGCTTCCGATCGTTTCCTTAATCCTAGAATAATCCTTTGTCCTGGTTAGTGGGCTTGTGCCTGATGTCTGTCGATAAGCAGCCTGAAATCCGAGGGGTTTGTAATCTGGGAGTTCAGGGTGCTCCTGGGGGAAGGTGGAGATGTCCAATGCCATTGTGGCTCTTCAGTGATCTGTAGCCAACATGTAAAGGCTGCTGACATGACTTACAGCTTATGCCTCCAGTGTGTAGGCTCGAGAGGTCCATTCACAGCTAGCCTGAGACCAAGGTAACCTTGGTGCCATCTGCTCTAAACCTTCTGTGTGTTAACTCCACAGTGGGGACCTGCAGGTGACGGGAAGTGGACATTGCCCGTATAGCACTGCCCAGAAAGCCGTTGGAAAGGACAACTTCACTATGATTCCTGAAGGGGTCAACGGAATTGAGGAAAGAATGACTGTTGTCTGGGACAAGGCTGTAGTAAGTAATTACTTACTTTTATGGACTAAAAAGAAATGGAGTCTTGGCTGAATAATGTAAAGCCAGGAGACTCTTGGCCAGTACTTAAGTGACTTTCTAATACATTTCTGAGAATTCCCTGAGAGAGTGCTACTACGGGGTGAATTGTTTATTTCAAAAACCTCCAGTTTTATAAACTCAGGGCTGTGTTTCACTTCCGACAGTGCAATACCATCATGCTTTATTAGGCCTGAGGCTTCACAGACTCCACCGCTGAATTTTCCAGTTGTGTCAGAGTGGATGCTTCTGAGAGATGTAGGATCTGGAGTAGTTTAATGGTTTTGAAGCTGACCCCATATAAATGTGATGAATGGATTGTTTGAATTTGGGAAGTGTCTCATCGTTTTTGAGAAATTACAAATGGATGGCAGCTGAGCCTGAGGCTAGACTGTAAAATGCTTTGAAGGAGAACATTGCATGTAATTCATACTGGCATATTTTGCGGTGCGGTGCCGGTATAAGTTAGCAATTTTTTATGGTTCCATGGATTCTAATGTATAATGATATTCTCCCTCCATTGTCCATCTTCACATACACACACACACTCTCATTACCTTACACTGCGCTGCACTCAAATGCATATTGCAAACTGGGAAGTGGTACTATTTACAACGCTCTCGTGAGCACTTCTCCCAGACTGTGTTTATTAACCACTTTCTTCAGGGACCGCTACTGGGATTCCAAGCGCAGAAGCAGCTTCCACTATCTGCTGTGTAGGAGCAAAGCAAAGCGCAGCCAGCCAGTGCTATTTCCCTTTTGTTACTCCTGCCAAGGGAAGGAGCTGCAGCAGGGGCTGCAACGTGGGATTTACATGTGGTAACATTCAGTCCCAGACCACTGAGTAGCTTATATTTTGCAAATCTCATGTTTTACCAGGCAGGAAATAAGTGTTTATTTAATATTAAAAAGTTTGGCGCTCTTGTTCTTCCTTGGAATGTTGTTGCTCTTGCTTATTGCCAGGGAAGACCCCAAAATAGTCTACTGAAAAATCAAAATGCTGCTGTGAACAGCTGCTATTAAGCCATCACTGACTGTATAAAAAGTTCAATTGGTGGTGACATTTCTCCAGGCAAGGACTTTACAGCTGTGGTTGTATCACTTAGATTTATAGGTTTTGTAATACTACTAGTAGGATGGACTTAATTTGCAAGAAATGTTTCTAAAAGAGTCTGAATCTTGATCTTTTATTTAATTTCCTAATACTCATATAAGTTCCTCTGTTTTAAAATCATTAAAACATTTAAATGGAAATTACCAGGACTAGCAACAAAACCACGTAGGCATCAGTGTGTAGAGAAAGGGGCCTTAGATAACTGAGCATCCTGATCATCTGCAGTAAGGTTTTATTGGCTGCTCTCTGGGATGCCAGGAATAACACATTCACGTATTTGAAACTCCCATATAATGTGCCTTGTATGAAGTCCTGCATGATAAAACCTCTGTTTCATGCCACATCACCTATATATGAACAGCGTGCCTTCCCGTGTGTCCCTGATTGTTTGGCACTCTGAATAGTAAATCCCTGCTTTATAAGCTTGTTTTGCTCAAGTCACATTGTTTTTAGGCCACAGGTAAGATGGACGAGAGCCAGTTTGTAGCTGTCACCAGTACCAATGCTGCCAAAATCTTTAATCTGTATCCAAGAAAAGGCCGGATTGCTGTAGGATCGGATGCTGATGTGGTTATTTGGGACCCTGATAAGGTGAAGACTATAACAGCTAAAAGCCATAAATCGGTAAGGAGGAAAGGAAGACCAGCAAGAAAAAAGAAATGTCACTGTTGCTTTTCAAATGTTGATCTAGTTACTGTGAACACCAAATCTATGGGCTATAGAGGAGTGGGGTAACTGCCTACTCCTATTCTGAAGTTGGTAAATGTTTCAGAAGATGAAAGTATTGAAATCTTGCATTGGAAGCACTGGGATCAGGAAGGATTTCTTTTCTCTCTGCATATACCATTGCACTATTTTTTGCATGCTTGTGGCAGATCTGTAAATAGGTGTGAATCAGCAGGTCTGCAGCTGAGCTTAGTAAAACTGTGATGATAAATTTAAAACCAGCTCATTTTTTTGCTTACCTGAAAAGCACCTGATATTATAAATCACACAGCTAAACCAACAGTATTCTAAATTATGACAGATGATGAAATATTTTGATAATACAGCTCTGAGCAGCTTCACGGCTGGGATTTTCTGTTTAATTCCAAAGCTTTGCTGCATACTTCTCTGCCCTTAGTGCAGAGTACGAGTGACTGACAGTTGCTTTCATTTTGACTGTGACAGGTTTTATCTTATGTGTTGTGTATTTCAAAGTTGTTATCTTACTGTTTGGTGCTTTGGTCTTTTGTATTGGGGAATTCTTCTGAACATTTTACTGGAAATCCAGTAATATGGCTTTTATTAAAAAGGCATAAAGCTTTAGAAACCTTTAAAAAGTAAGTTTAGGTCATTTTTTGATTTCTCTGTCTTGGGATCTCTCTGTATTTTCAAGAAAGTAATAATCACCTGCCCTTTGACAGTCGTTCCTGTTTAGACTGGTCCTTTCTGGGCTTTTTCAGACAGAAATATGTGTGCTGGCCCCTTTGAAATTCTCTTATACAATCATAGCACATGCATGGTGGAACCACGTCCTCTGGGTATCTGGCAGCTGAGTCACAATTTTCCTTCTTATTCAGGCTACTGCACTTCTAGAGGCTCTGGATAAATATGGAAAGTCCTCAAAAACAAATGAGATAGAGCTCTGACGGAAAGTGAGCAATGGAAAGGAAAAGTCTGATCCAGGAAGTCTGATCAGAGAGATTCATTTAAATCATTTCTGATCATAATGCATTGCTTTTCCTTCAGACAAAACAATTTTATATGCCTCTTAATGGCAGTTGTCTGGAAATGTGACTACGAATACAGATTGTAAGTTACTAACTGAAAGAGATCTTGTACTGAACTTGCAGTGAGTATGTTGGTTGATCCCCAGGCTGTTGAGTACAACATCTTTGAAGGAATGGAGTGCCATGGTGCTCCGCTCGTGGTCATAAGCCAAGGGAAGATTGTGTTTGAAGATGGAAATCTGCACGTAAATAAGGGAATGGGCCGCTTCATCCCTCGCAAACCTTTCCCTGAATATCTTTACCAGCGCATCAAAATCAGGAATAAGGTAACGCCAGATATTTTTTAATATCTTCTTTATAGCCATACACTCTTGCAACCACAGTGGCACGTGTTTTTTTATTATTATTGTGCTAAGATGAGTCCATATCAGATGGACTATATATGACTTGTTCAAAACGCGACCAAGAAACTGGTTCCTCTGCAAGTATGAACTGATGTAACTTAACACTGTGAGCTTCAGTGGGTAGAGCAGTTGGGCATAGTTGCCCTTTATCCAGCTGTGCAGGCTTTTGAAGGGAGGTGGAATAGTGATAGAATTTACTTTTAGTTAAAATTCAGGGAATAGATAAAGGTTCTTTGGGAGGAGGGTTAGCCAGAAGAAAAAGAGAATTTTAAATTGTTACTAAGCTTTGCATACTGAACAGCCACACTGCAGGAAGAAAAGCATTTAAGCCAGAGATACTCAATATATTTGGCATCTCTGAACTGTTGTTGGCGCATCTGCTGAACTATTAGCAGCATTCACAGCTCAGAAAACTTTTGTGTTTAATAAAAAGCTTGGGAAATGACCAAGATTAAGACTGGGCCACTTCTGGTTTTGAATTGTATCAGTGCTCTGTTGAAAACCAATTGGTCTGGCACTAGGTCGGGTTATTTGGAAATTCCCTGTTGCCACTGAGCAGGAAAGTCACTGTGTGAGGACAGGTGACAAGACAAATTGACTAAACCCCGTATTTTCTTCAACCAAACATGTATCATAGCCTGTGGGGGTGGCAGCTGAAATTAAGTCTACGAGCAGGTTGATAGTTTTTATCTTTCATCATTTCTTATACAAATTCTGTCAAGCTGTGGGAGGTCTGCTCTTCTAACAAGAAAAGGCACTATAAATATCAAATGCATCTGCAAAAGTTTTGCAAAATACCAATCAGTATTGCACTTTTTTTTACATTATCCACTTGGATGACATGGGCCTTCTCTTCACACTAGCCTCTCAAGGGTTTAGCGCATGGGAGTGCTATATAAATGAGTTGTGATAATCTGATAATTATATATAAAATATAATGA